GTGTTTCGCTGCATAAATATATGGTTTTGGACAGTTTTTAATCTGAGATGGTGTAAGCTAATGAAGCAAGCAAGAATATCATCGTACGTGCATGAACAGTGGTTTCCTTTTTCTTTAGTTTTCTTCGATGCTTTTATTTTTTTTTTTAAGGATTCAAAGAGAAGGTGTTCTAATCTTCATATGAAAGCAAAGTTGCATGTTGAATTCTGAATCATTCCATGGGTAACCTTTCTATTTTTTTATTGAGGAATTATTCAAGTGTAAAAAAAAGTTAGGGTCCACTAAACTTAGAATTAATTGTATATTTTTTCTTTTAGAAAATCAGTTGGAGCTAAACATGGCAAAACATGACAGGACACGAAAATCCGACACTAACCCGACACAAAATTAGCGGGTTAGGGTCAGAGATTTCGACACGTTTATGTAAATGGGTTGACACGACACGACACGATAATTAAACGGATAGGGTTAGGGTCAAGACTTTCAACTCGAAGATGACTCGAATATAACCCGTTTAACTATATATTATTTATTATAAATTTCATATTTTTATAAATATATTATATGTTATAGACTTGTAGTGGGTCAAACTCAATAATTAGAAGTATTATTCAAATTTTCAAAGTTATTTAATTTTAGTCATCATCACTACCTATCCCTTTTTGCTCCCCAACTTTAACTCTTTTCATTTTTCATTCTAAACTTACTATAAATTTTGTTATTTCATCTCATAACTTTCCAACCTTTTAAATATTTCAACTCGATATGACACAACATATTTACAAGGTCTAAACCTTAACCCGAAACCCGGCACGAAACCGACACGAAAATAAACGGGTTGACACGGCACGACACGATAATTAAACAGGCCGGGTTAAGGTCAAGCCCTTTCAACTCCTTTAATGTCTTGACACGACACAAACCCGACACAACACGATACATTTGCCAGGTCTAGTTGGAGCAACTTGAAGGTCTTGGAGCTTTTTTACCACGAATGGAATGCACCACAATTAATAAGGCGTACTTTGACCACCCTCCATAAGAGTTTTCAAGAAAAAATTCCATATGTGTGACACCATAAGAGATAATTTAAGGGAATTAACTCCCAACCTCTTGTCCCATATTAATACAACCTCACATTATATATATATATATATATATATATATATATATATATATATATATATATATTAAATCCAAGGGACCTTATGAATAGTAATCTTTTTTGTTTTAGGTTTTTGCCACAAATGTTTGATGAATTTGACATTTTTAGTCCTCGAAGTGAAAACTTTTACATTTTTAAGTTTTGATTAAGTTTTTGTGCCTTTAGATTTTTGTCACAAATCTTTAGTGACTTTGACACTTTTCATCCTTGCAGTCAAATCTTTTATATTTTGATGTTTTTGCCATAAATTTTTAGTGACTTTGACACTTTTCAACCTTGCAGTCAAAACTTTTACATTTTGACATAAAAAACACAAAAAACCTCCTTTAGACTTTTGCCACCATATTTTTCCAACTTTGGCAACTTTTACATTATAGCCACAACATTTTTGGTTTTTCTTCATCAATGTTCTTTCTTTTTGTTGTACACTTTTGAAATCTAATTTTAGGGGGTGTCGGTTTTCTCCCTTATTTGTGGCGATTTACACTTTCAATACATATTTTAAAGTTTGCCGATATTTAACTTCTATGACACAGTCCAAAAGCGGCGGAGCCGCGTGTCATTTTCTAGTTAATATAAAACCGGATATATCAACCCAGCTAGTGTGGATATGAATAAGGTCTACTAACTTAAAAACGTGTCGAAATGTGCCTAGTATTCATTAAATCTTAGCAACAAATCCAATAGTACAAAAAAAAAAACTAATTGATTCCACCGTTGGATAGGTCCAATCGGCTTTACATTTTGCCATTTTGGGCAGAAGTATCTTGGAACGAACTTATTTCACTAGCCAAAGGATCAACGAAATGATGTAAGATAGAAGTAGTATATATATTTGTCTCTTTTGTATTAAGGAGTTTAATCAATGAGACAAATAATAATATAGTTCAATACATATCGATGGAAGGCAGCAACGAGCTGCGTCGACGTTAGCCTTTTCTGTATGGCAAAATTAATTCTTTTGAAAACAATATCTTTAGATCTAGGAGATATGATATTAGAATGCATGAACCGTTGGACTCTGTTGAGGAGCTCCACCGCCTGTGGTGCGGGAAAACCAAATGTATCAAATTCAAAAGGAACAAACACATGTTTATTTTCTATACATGTATTTTCGTGCTTTGGTACTTTGCACGCAGCGACTTTCAAAATGGAATGTCATGCTGTGAAACCTTGCTCCTCAAAATTCTTTATATAGGCTATAACCAAATAACACACTTATTAGACCGAATTCATTAATTGATTTATTAATCTTGCGGCCAATTGATTAAACGCTTGAATTATATATTATTATAGGCATTTTCCCCTAGTTTATAACTTATTATATTTCATAGTCATCAAATTAGATATATGTTATATAACAGGTCCTTTCGAATTAAAAGCATAACATGAAAGTATATAATTTATTTACATTCCAAATAAGTGCTATACTTTATCAATTAAATATCATAAGTTAAAACTCTTGAGTTGTAGTGTTTAATTAGTTAAAAATACTTTTGAGTTGTAGTAGTTATTAAATAAGTTAAATTTTTCTTGTAGATTTCAAATAAATTAAGTATCATAAGTACAAATTAAACATTATAACTTAAAAACTCATGAGTTGTAGTGTTTAATTGGTTAAAAATATTTTTAAGTTATTGTAACATCCCAACCGTTAGGTATTATTAATATTTTTCCTTTTAAACTTCACATTGAAGGTCTACTCGACGAGTTGGCGCTATGATTCGTCGAGTAGCAGCGGGTTGGTCCGCGTGTTTTAGTGACCTACTCGTCGAGTAGGAGCTGGCAGATGAAACCCTAAATTTCGGGGGTTTACACCCTATTTAAGGATCACTTATCCCCCCCCTCCCCTAGCCTCTCTTACTGCTCCCCTCGAATTCAGAAACCCTAATTCGTGTTGTTCTCTATATTGGTGTGCTTCTTAGCTTGGAAGGGGGATTTGGTGAGGAAAGGTTTGAAGACCAAGAAGTTTTGAACAAGGAACAGCTAGGGGATCTGAAGTCTACCTCAGTTTATCATCCATTTGGAGGTATCAAGTCATCACCTTGAGCTTCTTCTAGTTAAACCCCCTTTCTATATTGAATTTTGGGACCATTTTGGGCATTTGGTGTTGCACTTCGAGTGATGAACCAAGATCTGAAGTTGCAACATCAGATCTAGGCTCATCTTGGCCCTTATCATCATAAAGTCTCAGTCTTTAGCATGTTGGTGAAGCTCTTTTGCCTAGAACCCCTTCTTTAGCTTGTTTTAGGTCATTATCACCTTGCATGCATGAAAAGTTTGCAACTTTACGTGATAAACATGCCTTGGGAAGCTGGATCTACAATATGGAGCCTCAGCATGGCTTAAAAAGCATCTGTATGGATGAAGGATTAAAGGGACTCGGCGAGTCGCAAGGTCGACTCGGCGAGTCATATGAAGATGGGCATGAACTCGACGAGTTGATGAACAACTCGACGAGTCCGTTGAAGATTTCCCTGAACTCGGCGAGTCGTTCGAAGACTCGGCGAGTCGGCTAGGGTTTCTCCCAATTCTTGGACACGTATGAACTCGGCGAGTTAAAGGGGAACTCGACGAGCCAATCAAGGATTTCACGACTTCTCGAGTTCAGGAAGGACTCGACGAGTCAGTGAACTGCACTCGACGAGTCGAGTCAACATGGACTGTTGACTTTGACTGTGGACTTTGACTTTGACCAAGAGTTGACCAGTTGACTTCTGAGAGTATTATGGTAATTTGGAGATTTACGAAAAAGGGTTTTATGGTAACAATAGGTGGTGGAGTTCGTGTTGGTGATTCGGGAGTTGAGCTTCTAGTTTCAGACGACAGTTCCGAGGTGAGTTTTCCTCACTATACTCAAGGGTCTAAAGCACCAAGGCCGGCCCTTTGGATTATTATATGGTCATATTATGCTAGTATAATCTGTTAGATTGGTATCCTAGGGGGTAGGATATTATTATGTGATATGTGGTATGATCTGTTAGATTGTCATCCTGGTAGATAGGATGGTGTTATGTGCTATGTGGTAAGATCCGCTAGATCAAGTATTGTCTATAGAGTTATGTGATTATCTATTATATGTGCACATGTTTTTTTGGCGGTTGAGGCTTATCTGCTCGGTGTGAAGGCCAATAGACCTGGGCATTCCAACCTGTAGGTTGTGGGCCGTGAGTATTCCATCCCGAGGATGATTGGACTCAGAGTATGTGGGCATTCCAACCGGTTGGTTGTGGGCCTAGGGTATTCCAATCTGATGGTTGATTGGACCCATAGTGTGTTGGCAATCCAATCTGTTGGTTGTGGGCCTGGGGTATTCCAACCCGATGGTTGATTGGACCCATAGTATGTTGTTATGATTCTATGTGTATTGCTGCGGGTATGGGTATTTGGGGGGGGGGGGGAACTCACTAAGCTCTCGGGCTTACAGTTTCAGTTTATTGTTTCAGGTACATCAGGGGATCGCGACAAGGCGAAGGTGTGATTGTACAGCTCCTCATGTTTTGTCTATGTTTCTGGGAAAACTATGATATTATACATTTTGAAAACAAAGTTGTAATGATTTTTAATGGTTTGAAATGTTTTAAAAGTTTAAATTGGTTTGAATTTTTGGGTGTTACAAGTTGGTATCAGAGCCTTGGTTTGAGTGAATTGGAGGAACATGCGTGTAAATCCAGTCTCAAATCAAGGAAAGGTTTTCAAAATGATTTCTAAAATGGTTTTCAAAATAAGTAAATGAGGATACAGGATGTACGATCAGCCGGAGCCAGTAAGTAGCCCCAAAATACCATACAGTTATTTGATTATGTGATATGTTAGAACAACATGCTAGTGCTAG